AGTGTCGGATTTTTACCGACTAAAACCCCTCCTCGAGTGGGTAGATCAACCCGAAGGTTGTACATCCCCGGGAAGGAAATGGAAAGATTGAGGGTTGGAAGAGGATTGAGTTGGGAAAAGGGTTTAGTGTGGGGTGAAAACGGGCGTATTTGGGGGAGAAATAAGGGTATTTACAGAGCGAAAACATAAATAATATTTCAGAAAAAAAATGAAGATAAAAGTTAGTAAGAATTCGTAGAAGTAAACAGAATAGAATTGTAAATAAGCAGTTAGAGGGAAAAATAGCTATTAACGTGGGATGCATGCAGGCATAGATAAAGATATATTTACAGATAGAAGAAACAATAAGCGCATGCACAAGAGATTTAAAAGAATAGATATGAAATTTTGAAATTATGCAGCCACTAGGCATTAGAATTCTAGCTTGCATCTAGAGTATCCGAATTTCTGAATAATCCATACCCTTAACTATTCTCCGAATAGTAATCTAATCTAGGTCTACCTCTACCCCTCCTAACTCGCGTTTCTGCCTCTAATATGTCTCTGACTAGACCTTCATGCCTGAGAAGATGTCCTAACAACCTATCTCGCCTATTTCTTATTGACTTCCATAGAGTCCTCTGTTCTCCTATTCTTTCTAATACCTCTTCATTTCTAACCTTCTCTATTCATAGTATCCTCATCATTCGCCTGTAACATCACATTTCGAACGCTTCTAACCTTTTCTTTTTCGCACCCATACAGCGCCGTGCTTAAAACATACTACACTTTTAACAAACTCTTTCGAATTTCTAAATTAACCGTTCGCGAGCATAGAAGTAATTTGTTTTTATTAAAGGCGACTCGACCCTGCGCTATCCTCTGCTTTATATCCCTACTACTCCGTCCTGACTTATCTGTCTTCCTAGATACCTAAAATCGGCCACCTCTTCTAATTTTTCGTCTCCTATCTTTATATTCGCTCTTTCCCTACTTTTTCTTCCCTTGCATACTGTTTTGTCAATACCGCTTCCATTTTATTTAATGCTATCTCTAACCCCTCCTTGCTAGATGCTAATACTGCTATATCATCTGCAAATCTAAGAATACTAATCTTTTGCCCCTGTACATCTATCCCTACAGTTGAACTGTCTTTAATGATGTTGATCACGTCTTCGATGTATAGATTAAAAAGTAGCGGTAACAGTGTGCATCCCTGTCTGACTCCCTTCCTAATATTTACTTCTCTACGTTGCAGCCCCATCTCTATAACTGCCTGTTGCTTTTTATGCAAACAATGTATCACTTTTCTATCTGTATTACTCATCCCTATATTTTTAAGTATAATAACTTGTCCCATTTAACATTGTCAAAAGCTTTTTCTAAATTTACGCACTCTTTTTTTTTTTATCGTTTTCTCTATTGTTACCCGTAAATCTAGAATGGCCTCCCGCGTTCTCTATTTTTTCTAAACCCAAATGGACCTTTCCCTAATAGTTCTTCCACTCTTTTTTCAATCCTCCTCTGTACAATTCTACTTAAGATTTTTATCGCATGGGAAGTTAAGCTAATTGTTCTAAATGTCTCGCATCTATCCGCGCCTCTCTTTTTAGGTATGGTTACTACCACGTTCCGTTTATAATCCTCTGGAACTTTCCCCGTTCATGTTTCAGAATATCCCTTTCTATCCCATCTACACCTGACGCCTTATTATTCTTTAAGTTTTTTAATGCTACATCGAACTCTTCTCTCATTATGGGATAACCTATTAACTCACCTATCTTCACACTATCTTCCTTTTCTAATATATCTCCTAACCCTTGGCTTGCGTATAGTTTCTCTAAATATTCTTTCCACCTATCTGTCTTTTTCTCAATTCTATCAAAAGACCCCTGCATCGTTTCTTATAATATTACTACTGTACCCTAAATCTCTAAAAGTCCTTTTAATTATATTATAAGCCTCATAGGTTTTACCTACTTCAAACGTTTCTTCTACTTCTTTACACATCCTATCAATCCACTGTTCCTTAGCTACCCTACACTTCCTAATTATTTCCCACTTTACAGCCTTATATCTTATACTTGCTTGTGTGCAAATGTTTTCACGCAGAATATATCTGAAGAAATTTATGCTTTATATAAATAATAATTTGATTTCAATATATAGGTACATATACAGATCGGAACTGTAACATTGTGGATTTTAAAAAATTAATTACAACATATTTTATATTCAGAAAGGCCAAAATTACAAATGACATTGAATTATAACGATTATCTTCCTTCATTTTGATCAATCGCAAGTACGCATTTGCTACTTTCATTCTAATTTATTATCCGACAAAGCAACTTGTCATCTTGAGAAAGAAATAATATTTTGTTTCCTTTTGGATATGCCCCGTTGACCAAATTTCTTTTATTTTCTGAGTAATGTACTTGCACGTTCTCTTACATTCTGATGAATCTCAGAAATCTTTCAGAATTTATGCGGTGATTAACATCAGATCCCTAATAAAGCCTAAAATACAACTTTGACTATAATTTCATTACGGCGGTGTTAAAACTGTCTTCTTTCACTCCACCCTTTCGCGCAAACTTTCCTCTCTAACTCTTCAGTGCCGAGTTTAGTAATTTTGCTTGTCTAACAGTAATTGGAAAGTTTTGCACGTGCTTCTCGAACAAGAGTTGCTAGTTTAATGATAACGTATAAGGCGAAACAATCTATCTAAGCATAAATAAATTTCAACCCTTCACCAAAAAAATGAACCGGAATTTCATTATTAAGGATAATGTTCTTTAACACCCAATCAATCGAATAACTAACTTAATTGTTGTGGTCTCCAGATCTGTACATACATACATATATACATATACATACATACTTCTATTTCTACGTATTATGGTAGTTTTGTTTTTGAAGGTCAGACAAAAGCTGAGCAAAGCATCATGTTTTATGTGATTATGTGAATAAGCGAATTTTGTGTGAATAGAGAAATGATCAACCACTGCCACTCACGATTGATTAATTCCACATTCTAGTATGAATAATGTGCTTGGAAGCTTCAAATTACTTGATAATTGCAGAATGGTCAACGTGCGCTAGTTTCGTTTTGACGAAAACTAGTTGAGCACTAGAGGGTATTCAGTGCGTTATACGTCGTATTGTCGCACAACCTTTTCACATTTTAAAAAAATAGCACAAGTACCCACTGCCCAATTTAAAAACTATATGTTTTGTGTTTTTATTTCTTTCTTTAACATTCAAGTGGCCTCGTTAAAAAAAATCAAAAGATTTGCAAAATGTCGTTACAAAAGTGCTTTCATTTTTACTGTTGGAAATATGCCGTTATACTTAGAAAGAGGACATTTTTTAATGAATTTAACAAAGTTCCTGAGGAAAGTTAACGTTTTTTTTTTTAATTCGCAGCTTGTTGAGTTCATCGTAATTTGACTGTTTTGGATACAGCGGTTTATTGCCCTTGCCCATGGTCTGCTTGGGTTGTAAATACCATAAGTAACCATTTCAATACTCACCCTTGATTAATATTCAAACATTAACAAATAGCCTTGAAACGTTACTTCTGTGAAACCCAAGCAGGTACCGTTGCCACCCCCTTGGAGGGAAATGTAGTAGGAAAACGAGAAACTGTAAATATGGAAGATAGCATTGCACTTAGTTTTAGTGAAGTTGTTTTATTAATAAACATTAAAATACAGTTCGAGTTTAATTTTGAACGAAAGAAGTGGCACGGCAGTACAAAAACGTAAAAAACAGCTATTTTGTTTATTGCACTTCATCAGCATGATGTGATGCTTTAAAGATATCTAAAATTCATACTTCAAACGATTAAGTATTTCCAGGGAAGTCCTGTATCTCAGGCATAACTTTAAACGTCCCGCCGGAACAGACTGTCCCGTATTCGTATTCCCGTTCGTCAACTATTACGAAATCTATCGCACTACGCTTGATATTCATTCAATATTATTAACAAGTACATTCCGGCATGTCGAGTCGATCTTTGTCGTACTTGGCATTCCTTCATAATGTAATATTTTTAATAGAAAATAACAAGAAGGACTGAAGTAGATTCAATTCAATTTAATTATCATTAACAATAAAATAATAACAAATCTGGTGAATAATATTAAATTGCTCTAACAGATTTCGATTAAAACAATAAATGTATGTACATGGAAAAGGTAAAAAGGGTTGGAAACGTGGATAAGCAGAGCCCCACTCGCTTCTTTTTATTGGGCAAGAAAAGAAGCCATTTGTGGAAATGGAAAGATATCATTAATTTTTGGTCAAATTATATTTACAAATTGATTTGCGATTTTTATAATCTTTTATTGCATTTAATTTTTTTTTATAATACTATTTTAAAACTTTCTAATTTTTCACACTTCTGAACTGTAGTAGTTATCTATTGAATTTCATAGTCAGTTATTT